TTCCGTGTGGGTCTACAGTTTTGGAGAACCTATGTCGCCTCCTTATGCGAGGTTTCAAAACGATTTCTTCGGCAGTCGGTAGGACTGATCGATGGTCGATGATGGAGGCAACAAGGACCTCTGAAACGTCGGTCAACTTCTACCAGACTACACGGCGTAACATCCCAGAAGACAGCCATCTTTATTATTCATTTCATATTTTCCACTTAATTGACCTCGATTTTTTTGTTTGTTGGCAAAATATTGAGAACGTTGGTCCCATGACATGATCTCTCAATTAATTGTTGTTAGAGAGTAGAAACACGTCCGCTTTTGTAAGAGCTCCGTGAAGTACCCAACAGCTGTATTTAAATTGAAATGAATTGAATTGGATTGAATTTAATCATTAAAATCTGTTTGGTTCAGAGAACGTCAGTGGGTTTTGTTTTACACGCATCTCCCCCCCCCCCCCCCCCCCCAGAAGTAAGAAACAATTTCACGATTCGCAGAACACGTCGCTGTTGGCTGGATGGTCATTCGACCCTCGGAGGTTCCCCTTCCTCCGTCCATAGTCAGCAATCGCTTAAATTGCATCCTCAGCGAGTAGTTGTTTTACGGAGTTCGGAAAAATCCAGATAAACAGAAGTGTTATGTTCTAGATCGCCCAGGCTTTGCCAATGAGTGTGAAGATGTGTACTCTAGGATGCAATATAGATTCTTTAAGCCATTTTAAACCTCAGTACCTCTCTAAACGTCTTAAATTGCTTTCGTGCACTATTGTTCCCTGTTTTTTTTTCAGCACATCAAAAACCTGTGATATCGCGTGACGTCATTAGTTTGGGATTAGGTCCAAATTCTTAAGCCGCGTTTGCAATACATGGCAGGTCGATCTGTTGTCTGCAACTGTATCATATACATGTTTATATTTGCGACGTAATGAAATAAAAGGCGTGTTGTGACATTCCTATCCTGCATTATGAAAGTGAAAGCGCGGATGTCCCTTTCTGAAAAATGATTCGTTGCTAAAATGTTGTTTTCCGGTATTTGCACAACTTAAATTTCCTTTTCACCCGTAGTTCCATCAGCATTCCTTTTTCAACTAACACAAAGTAGCTTGAAATTTATAATATCGTGTTTATGATAGCACAATCCAATATGTGGACGTAGGAGGGATAAATTAATGGAATGCTGGAAAAATTGTGCAAGTATAATGAGAGCTCAACTCCATAATGTGTGCTTTTTACCAGTTATTATTAAGATCCAAACAAACAGGATTACACGGGTGAGGAATATAACACTCGTGCTGTTTTTTCTGTAGTTCTTAGTTTCCGAGCTACGTAAATCCACCCACACCGAGACTCGTATCCAAAAGATTTTTTTATAGGTGTGACGTTTCTGAAATCCGTTTCTGGTATCCGTTTCTGGTATCAAAACATACGTATGTCAAGTTAGGGCAAATTCGTATTTCCATTCTCGAGTTATAAGCGACTACACAAATGCACACATACATACCCACAATTTCAATTTTGTTCATAAAGTTGTATAATAATTTTAATTTTTATAAGCTGCTTCATTATACTTGTCAACAAAATGTGTTTTGAAGATTTCTGTCTTCTGGGTTATTGCGCTGTGTAGTCTGGTCGATGTTAACCAACGTTTCAGAGGTCATACTGCCTCCGTCATCAGGGCGATGTATGACCTCTGAAACGTTGGTTAACATCGACCAGACTACACAGCGCAATAACCCAGAAGACAGAAATCTTCATACTCACCGCTGTGAGAACCTCAAGTCTTACAAAATGTGTTTTATTGAACTACCGTAGATCATCTGTCATTCTTGACTGGTACATTTCTGGTCTATAAGTAATCGCGCTAATTATCAATATTGTCATATCAGTAGTGGTCTTGTAACTTCTACTGTAATATCTAACCGTAAATATTGTCTCGCGTAAAAATGTGATGCATTAACACATAATTTGATGTCTGTAATGTGAATGAATCAAACAATTTGTTATAATGTGGATTATCATTTGAATGAAACTGCACACATGTACATTTGTCTTTACAGTTGTTTAAAGTTTACATTCAGTTTCCTCTCCATGCACTTTCGAGTAAGACAGATGAAGGCGCTTCTGTACACATAACTTCCTCCTTGACGAAAACTTTCTGATAGCGTCTTGGATAATCTAATGAAAGTGTTTGTGTTGCACAGCACACAATGGGCCAACAGTTACGTGGCATCGCCGAACACAACTGCCTGTACAACTCCCGGGAAAGAACTTCAGCAACATCTTGCAAACGGCGGCAGCAACTTCAACAACAACATCACGGCTTCTTTCCAGCAACATCGCTCCACCTACAACAGTTCTTCAGAGTTCCTATCAGAGTCCTCTCCAGATGACAGCCTAGGCGATTTCGAAGGTACAACCCCTGAAATGCAAAGCTTATAGGGATTTTTCTTTCAGTCATTGTTCTTTCATCAGACGACTTGCTGACGCTGCAAACGCCATATTTTATTGCTAGGGAGTTCATTCACTTCAGTAGCTCTTGCAGATGGCCCTGCGGTCAGCAATGTTCTTCCATTCAGGACATTGTTTAGCCACTTATTGATGAAGGTACTGTCCCTCGCTGGTGTCAACCAGCTTCTCCAGGGCGGAATAATCCAAAGCAGCGATTACGCGATCCCTCAGGCTGCCTACCCAGTGTCTCTAAACAGTCAGAAATTCCCGTCTTACGAGACAATTCTCAGCCCTGAACGGGGCTGTAGTAAGCCACTCCGTGCCGCCCTGTATTTGCGAGAGTAAACCAACCCAACGTTGCTTGCGACAGGCAGGGCCTTGAAGATGGTAAGCCCCGGGTACATTATTAGTTATTTTGGAGCGTTGTGTAGGAAAATACGGGACTAACCAACTAGATGGCTTACAGAACTCGAAGGTTCATCACCGAACTCACCAATGCCGTCCACTGGACCCTGTCCTGGGCCAACAAAATCTAGTCTGAAGATTTCTGTCTTCTGGGTTGTTGCGCTGTGTAGTCTGGTAGATGTTTACCAACGTTTCAGAGGTCATACTGCCTCCGTCATCAGGGCGATTAATATCACATATCATCATACAGAGCGCAACAACCCAGAAGACAGAAATCTTCATAATCACCGCTGTGAAAACCTCAAATCTTACAAAATCCAGTCTCGTTCAACTCCTATCTCCCATAGATCCCACCTGAGATTATTCTCCCATCTACGTCTAGGTCTCCCCAGCGGTCTCTTCCCCTCAGGCTTTCCAACCAATTCCCGTTGTACACCTCTCGCCCCATCCATGCACGCTGCTTAAGCACTGGACTTTTAGTCGGATGAACAGGAAGAACCATTGCCGGCCGAATTGTAGGTCCCAGTGCAGGACGGACGGGTCTCTCTCTCTCTCTCTCTCTCTCTCTCTGTTTATCTGATGATTAATCCCTGTTATGTATGGCATGTCCTGTGCACTTTATATTGTGTCATATTTATTTTAGTTTGGTAACGAAGCATCTAAACTTAGACCAAGAGTAGAAAAAGCAGTGCACATGGCACAGCATAAAGAACACTTCTAGAAAAACTCTTGTTACACAATACAAAATTTTATGCATTTCTCGCAATTGCTAGGCTCAACTTCATATTCGGAAATGTACCTAAAATGTTTGTGCACAGTAAGTGAACCAAGGAGAATGTCCAGATGCACCTAAAGAACGCAGTGGATTCCTAAATAAACTGTTTAATGAGGAAATTGAATTGCGAAAACAGTGAAGTTTGTTGAAAAGGCGTTTTGAAATATTGAAGGTGTAGGTAGATATGTAGATAGTCTTGAAATAATGCTAAGTTATGACAGATTAATTAATTTAGCCTGTTCAGTGATGTTCTCCTTCTTGCGATATCACCGCAAGTAATGCTTACAGTCTCTTTTCTCTCTGTGGCTAGACGGGCAGCAGAGCTCGAGTTCGCTGGATGCGTCTCCACAAGGAGACGAGTACAGGTGCTTCAGCCATGAGGAAGTCAGCGACTCCGACTCCTTGTCAGACGATGGCAGGTGCCGAGGTCTTCTCGCTGCATTGGGAGGCCGTGGTATTGTAAATCCCAACTATCCTGGCTTCCAGTATTTGGCTTGCGAGCTTCACCCCTCTGACACAGATGATACCGAGGAGGAGCGTGACACGGGCAACAAGAATTGCAACAATAACAATAATGGAGAAGAAGACATTGATGATTCTGACAATGAAACTGAGTCCAAGATTGATAGCGTGAATCATCTAGATAGTGTAGAGAATTTCCAGAAAGATTTCTATGATAAACCAAAGTTTAATATTCCAGTAGATGCAGAGTTAGATTGTTATTGCGTGGATGGTAGTGAATCAGTTGCTGCTGTGGACGACGAGAAAGATTTAAATGTGCGTTTACCGGAGAGTGAAAATATCGTGACCGCAGATTCAAAAAATGTCAGCGCAGAAGAGCTGGAAAGTGACAGTAAAGTGTTAGTGACCAACATGGCAGCCATTGCTCTGACATGCAATAATATAGACACACCCCTTATTGATTCACAACAGATTAACTGTAGCAAGATGTCAGACGCTTTCCTTTCTAGCGCAAAGGAGGATCTGCTCTGCAAAAACACTACTGAAGAAGGGAGCGTCAGGAACAAGTGTGAAGACGTTATGAGCTGTCTCAACTCTCTGGAGCCCTGTTCCGGTGATGCCAACATCTTGAACATGGGAGATTCTAATCGGGCAGTTGAAGAATGGGAAGAGATGGAAAAGTCCATAGAAAAATTCAACAAAGAAGAACAGATTTCAAACGAAAAAGAGCAAGATGATGATCTGGTTGTTCCTCGTAAGAAGGAGAAGATGGAAATCAATTACAGTGTAAAGAAAAGTAGGAGTAACAGCTGTGCCAGCAACATGGACATGCTGCAGGTGGCATCAGCACCAGTCTTGGAGCAGCAGGAACAGCAGGTGGACGCCGTAGTGAGGTGGCGTGATTTCGGACCCAGAGGTGGCAGGGATCATGTCCTGGCGAACAGACGGTCCGTCCCCACTGCAGCATGCGACAAGAAGCGTTCCTCCACAGAGATCCTAGGTATGTAGTCTGTGGCTGTGTGGCCGTAGTGGCTCATACTACAGATCCTTTGTTTTTATTGTAATGTTCATATTCGAATGCTCTGGTCGTAGTAACACGTTTTATCTTTCGACGTGGACTGACAGCTTAAAAAGTTGATCACCCTGCTTCATGCAAAATATCTACCTATGAGTTACACGTCACAATTTAGAATTTAATTTTCCATGATTTCAATTTCACAAATGTTTAAACAAATTTATTTTTATGTTTTAAATTTAAATTTCTGTTGACAAAGTGGATAGCCAAGTCTTTCTTGTAAGATTTGAGGTTTTCACAGCGGTGAGTATCAAGATTTCTGTCTTCTGGGTTGTTGCGCTGTGTAGTCTGGTCGATGTTTACCAACGTTTCAGAGGTCATACTGCCTCCGTCATCAGGGCGATGAGTATGAAGATTTCTGTCTTCTGGGTTGTTGCGCTGTGTAGTCTGGTCGATGTTAACCAACGTTTCAGAGGTCATACTGCCTCCGTCATCAGGGCGATATAACCTAGAATGTTTCAGTTTACCGAGATGTCACATCAACTATAAGATGATTTTACATTGCCCAGATCTCAAGGATATGATGATAGCCTTGTTCCTTGAATATCTACGATGGAGTTTGATCTTAAAATTATCCAAGCTATAGATCACGTAAATGAATAATTTGTAACAGAAAACTTTCATTTACCAATCATTGTTTGCCAATTTAACCCACAAAGAAAATAAATGCGAAGAAAATGGTATAATAAATTAACGAGAGCGAAACGGATCCTATTAGCAAAAAATCGGTCGTGCAATTAGGATGGCGACTGAAGAGTGCAATTCAATTTGTCATGTCACAGTGTCGACTTCTCTGCACACAAACAAGTCTTGAATGACGATTAATAACTGAGCATATTCTCATCCACTGCAAAACAAAAGCCATCCAAATGCTTTGCTTTGTTTCTGACTTGATTAAGATAGTCAAACTACTATCTTCAAACTTTTATCATTTACGCTTGACTCCTTTTATATCTTTTGACTGTGTGCTACGAACATATTCTTGCGAATTCCCCATCGGAAATACAGGGTGGGTGGGAAGTAAGTAGGCATTGAGAAATGGTTATAACCTCTGTATTTCCACTACAAAGCGATTATTTAATGCCTACTTACTTCCCACCCACCCTGTAGTTTTCCATTCTGTAACCGACAAGTGAGTAAGACGAAGAAATATGTAAAATAAAACAATAGAATGCTCCTCGATTTGTTTTATAATTTGGAAAATAATCCATTATGATGTTAAATACATAAATATTATTCTGTGTAAACATAAATATTTTTCGTATAATCTCCGGTGTCACTGACTTTATGTACATATCTGAAATTCCTGACAAATGACGTAGTTCGTCCACACAGCGGTTGTTTTTAGTAAGGCGTGAGCTGCTTACTCTAATATCACAACAAATCCTTCTGGGTGAAAATGTTCTACAAGGAGTCCGTTGTTCTTTAGAAACTGTGAATGGGAAACAGCTTCCAGCAATAGCGAATTCCTCCTAGTGGGAACGTTCAACCTCTGTCATAGGTACGTATGATCAATATGTCACGTCACACAGACTTCAGATAACTTTAAATTTTTGTGAATTTATTTTGAGGATAACTCAGTGAAAAACAAGAATATGTTATTGAACAGTCCCCGGTATCATGTTGTGGTAGGTTCGTCTCGAAAGAAAATGTCCCAACTTGCCAGCGATTTATTTCGATCAAGTACTTGAGAACATTTCATCAGCTTGGTGTACGTTCAGCACTGCTGGTCTTAGAATAATGTGCTGCCTTTGTTGTTAGCATCTTGGTTTTTAGGTTTTCTCAGATACTCCTGACGAATTGGTCTTGTTTAATGTCTGTCACTTTACCCCGGGCTGAGGGATAATTTGGAAGATCCCTGGAATAGCGGAATTCATAGCCTGGTAGAAATGTTGTCGCTGATCGTAGCACATTGAGATGACCACTCGATATTTGATTTCCAAGAGCTTGTGGGCCCTATTAGTGATGTAGGACGTGTTGTTGTTCAAGGAGAAATCGTTAATTTCCGCCATTTAGCCGATCGATATTCACCTGTTGCTTGGTGGTGGCTGCTCTTCTAGATGCGTGGACGTAATGACACCAGCCATTCCTGAGTCCACACGTATTGTCTCGTTCTTGCAGTTATAAACACAATCAAAGTTATTATGTTCCTCAGACAAAGTAAAATTACAGCTGCATTGATCTGCAAAGATGCTTCGTGTGCAGCGGTGTGTCAACCCAAACTCAAATAGTTTCGAGGATCAGACGTTATACTTGTATATTTTAAACAACGTTTCCGTAATCGGAGTGGCGGACTTTTGTGTCAAACCGTCTAGAAAGCCAAACGTAGAAAAGTCATGAGACTACTTGGTTTCCTCCGAGCATCCTCGATTAAACAAGAAATATCACAGGACGCCTTTACTCGTCCTTGATGTTTAAAGACCAGCTCCTCAAGTTTGTAACAAATGTTCTGATTGCTTCTCGCTATCGACCGAGAATACAATCTCGATACCAAGTAGTGTCGACTCAGGGCCTGAAGATTGGCTGATCGTAAGTGGTACTACAGCCCACGACAAAGAAAATACAACGTTCTCCATCGCTTAGGGGCTGTGGCAGTCCACAGTTTTGCTCTTCGGCCTCGGGAACACTACGGGTTCCTCCGGAATGCTGATGGAGTTTGGCGTTCCAGGAGCATTTTAGCAACTGGTGGAAAGTGTTCCAGTATTTCCCAGGAACCTACCAGGAGCGTACCGTTAATGTGCTATCTAATCTTGAACGACGTGCGGTGCCTGGACCATGTATCATCGGACGGAGTGAGAAGGCTGTACAGCATTGGGCGCTGCCGAGGGACCGAAACGTGTTGTGGTCTATTCCAATTCAGCTCACAAGGGAACCAATTCGCCCCCCGATTCAGCTTCGGTTTTACAGTGAGGTAGTGAATCCTCCACTGAATTTTTGGCTAAAATACTGTATTTAGACGTTACATTGTTTCTTTGTAATACACAGTTTTATTTTCCACTTTCTGCACTGTCTCTAGTAAGTCTGGCAAAAGAATTCTTCCTTCAGTTCACCTCCGTATCTCAGCTGGTAGTGTTTTTGCGCTACCATATGGGCGACTTTAGGTTCGGTTGCCAAGTAGGCTGATTTTTAATCACCAGGTCTGTAAAGCTGTGGAGGCCATGGAAAGTAATCTCCTTTTCAAGTTCTTACTCTCCTTTTCTTACCCTTATTCGCGTTCCAGAACAAGGGGGCCTAGTTGATTTCTCAACTCTTCGTTCCTAAGTACAGATGTTGCTCGCCATTTTGAATTTCAGGGTTCGCCTTCAATTGCATGAGAATGTATGACTTGTTCTTCACTCTGTGGATATCGACAGGCAACTGATTGTTGTCTTTATTATCTGTGTTGTCTATTGTGCTTCAGATCGCTTCTAACAAAGTGGGATTTTTCAGTCTCGCGCACACAAACTTTGTGGTGGACTCTGTCGCCGTGGAAGAATAAATAAAACATACAAGCACCTCTGCGTAACACTGTGAGAAATAGTAGCTAGATTGATAATCGAGCATTCTAAATAGGTGTTACTGAGTAATAATGTAATTTCGGCTAAAGCTGGTTGAGAAATCAGTTCGCTTCTCTCGTTCTGGAATGTGAGTCGGGGTAAAAGAAAACAAATACAAACAAATAAAATTTTAGGGTCACCACAGCCATTAGCAAATGCCGATTAAGAAAAGAACTAGAACAGGGGTGGCGATCACCGTAGGCCCACATGCTACCAACTGAACTACGATTGTAAACTGAAGAAAGATTTCTCTAACTGGGCTTTCAAAGTAAGAGTGAAGAAGGTGAAATATGAAAGTGTGTGTTACAGAGTAACAGTAGTGTCTGCACTTATTGTCTTTTCCAAGAACACAGAGGAGAGTCCTCTGCCATACTGCAAAGCCATAGCCAAATCGAAAGGTAACAATCGACAAAGTCCCCTTATTATCCACATCCGATGGCATTTACGTTGCTGTCCATTTGCTCTCGGCCGGCTCTTATCTTATTTACCAACTCCATAATGAATTGTAGTGCCACTTTTATCCAATCCCACTCGAGACATCGCAGTCCATTGATTACACACGGGCTCTATAAAATGCAAGATACATTTATTCATTCACGCTTTTTATAATGAATTGTTATTCTTTATTAAAGTTCTGCCTGTCTTTAAATTTGCCCGTTTTAACAGTTCTGTTGGACAGCTTTTCTCGTACCAATGTACTGCCGCTTCTCCAGAATCACAGTTTGCTTGCTCAGTACACCCTCCCTAAGGACCACGTTTAATGTCATTATGCTTCTAAACGTCTTGGTTTGTACTTATTTACCTTTCATTTAGAAGTTCGTGCGAGCAATAGTAATTTCAGTTTGCTAATATTTCCAGAATAATATTTTGTCTGTGTGATTTAATAAGTCTCTCTCTCTCTCTTTTTTTTCTTCCTGTCTGACGACAGGTCCATATGAACACGATCCTCCCATCCTTTTCTCGGACTGGGACCTGTTCATATACGTTCTTGGCAGATGATCCAGAAGTGGTTTGCCATTGCCTTCTTCTGTGTTTGAATGGAGTAATTGTTGGGATGCCACGGAGAAACCGGGGAGGCTCCCGGAGGAAAACTCCGTGTTGCCTAGACCACGGCCTTGCCCAACACAAGTTATAAATTTGGGCACCGCCGGGAATCGAACCCGAGACCCCAGGATTATAAGGCCAGCGTCCTAACCGCTAGACCACCGTGGCTATAACGTGTGATATTTAAATTCGCGCCAACATTTTATGGTGAATAGCATTTGCATTTGAAACAAAATCGTTACACAACCTCCGCCTCTCTGATTGCAGGTGGTTTCGATGTGTACAACATAGAGACGGCTATGCCGAAGATCGACTTGGATGCTATCGAATCTCACTTGCGAGCAGCGAGAGAGGAAGAGAGACGGGTGAGTAACAAACAACCAGCAGAAGTACAAGTGGAGTCTTGCCATGTTGTTAACTCAGTGCCCCAGGGGGTAAGATTGCTGAGAAGATCCCAGGTCTGTTAAGTTGTAAGAGGGTCAGCACCGTTTTGGTGCTATACCAGGTAAAATTCGCGGAGGTTTCTCATTGGGGTGCGAAAAAAACTGATGAACAGGGCAATATAAAATTACGTCCAAGGTATCAGGCCATACCGCTGTTCGCGAATTCGTACATAATTTCACGAATGCGACGAAATATGTTATTTGTTATCGAAGTTATTTTTGACGATGAGTAAACGACGGAAGCAATTGTACAAATGTGACAAGACAAGATGCATTGCACAGAGAATCCCTCAATTTTGTGTACATTTGACAGTTCAACATGGACGTACATATAATGAATTCGCATCCGTTTAAAGGGAATGCTGTCTATTCTACCAGCGTACTTTCTCATATTTTCAACAACGTGATCCTATCGGAATAACAGCCACCCATGCTTATTAAGGTAAAATACATATATATATATATATATATATATATATATATATACACACACATACCGCCTAACAGTCGCACACAGTCTATGAAAGGCAGTCTTTCATTTTGGTGATTGCGCATTGGCTAAAAATTCCTTGCCTAAAATTTTTTTCACAGTCCCGGGAAACTCACCTCAGGTGCAACAATGACCTCGGAGCACATTAGTGTATGACTGGCCTAAGGCATAAAAATTGTCACGTAGAACATATTTGGAGTGACAGTGCACCTTCCTAATCTTGTTTTCAGCCCAATACCGTCTTTTGAAGTAGTTTGTCCTGTTACGTCCATCGCTGCTTCCCTCTCCGCGTCAGTAAGTAGTTCCATCGTTAAAGTAGAACACGTGCCTAGAATCAAAGAAGAGATACAGGATCTACAATTTATGAGGCTGCGGTCGTGCTTGCATTGCGTGGTCGGCCGACGCACTGTTGATGTCGGCGGGAGTCGTGCCCGTACTTCCGGTGGGTGAACGGTGAATCAGTTTCAGTGCCGCTAGTAACAGCGAACTACGAATATTTCTCGTCACTAATACATGTTGCTTGCCTCGCATTTCCATCCTCGCCAATGCATTACGTATAATACAGTGATAATGTGAATGATGATAATGATTACTTCTGCTTGTTAACAAGATGTTGCTGGACTGCGTAAAATGGGTTCGTTAAGGCACTCAAGACTTTGAATTAAAGTCCGCTTGTAGCCGACCCAATACAAGCGATAAGATATTTTAATCAGAATTTGTACACACTTAGCAGTGTTTCGTGAGAGCGAGAGAACAGTTTGTGAAAGTTTCATATAACTTGTTCAAAGTATTATAGTGCAACGTGAATTTGGAAATTCTTAACATTCTCTTGAACAGGGGATTGAGTTAGCTATCTATCACTGTGTGTGTTTTATCTTCTGGAGTGTCAGTGATGACTGATGATTGTTTTGTGGCTTGACATGTGACACTTTACATGGCGTTAGGTCAAAAGACTAGTAAATGTTTTTTTTTATAAAACAACATAACATTGAGGTTATATGTTACAGAGTTCAATGTAAACAGTGCTGATACGTTTATGGTGAAATGCGTAACTACAAAAGAAAATACGATGCATATTACGGTTTAATTTTCAAGTTCCGCCAGGAATAAATTTTTAATTTGACAGGAATTTAGAATGACGGTTTCATTCATTTGCCTGATCAAAAACAAACCTCTAATCGCAACTTAACCTTCAATCTGTTTCACAGCAAGAAACAGTGGATCTCAGGTTTCTTACGCTTCTCTTAAAGTTGTGTAATTTCGAAATTATTTCTTCATATTTTGGCATTAAGAGGTCAATCCATGCGACTTGGTCTTTGACTGGAATATACAGAGTATGGCGTGGAATAAAGAAATGTATTTTTAATCTGCTTCACTGGTGTCATGGACAGAGAAGCGAGTTTTATGCTGTGAACACTTTCTCTTGAATCAGGGGGAAACAGCGTCACAGAAATGCAGTGATGTATGTCGTTATAACTCTCGAGAAAATCAACGTTTATTGCGGGTTTAGTCTGTGTCTGTAGCCAGTGGGCCTTGCGTCGGAGCTCAGTAGGAATCTTAACATCTGTGTTCATGTTTACTGTGATCGCGCTGTTGAAAATACAGGAGCCGGTAATGGATAAACAGGATTGCGTCTTCCCTGTAGTTTCAGACCAAAAAATAAAGAATTTACGTATGTGACAAGGCGTTTACACATTCGATATGACTAAGGATCACGATCCCCCACGTTTGGGATACCGGTATTGAATCGCTGCTACACGGTGAATGAAAACATAGTCAAAGCAGTTACGTCTAGTAGCAATATTAGAATGTATAACGATTCTTTAAACGTGTAATTAACTTACAATTCCGAAGTGTCTGTAGGTAGATTTGTAAAGTTAGTTTGTATTTATTATTAATATTAACGTTAAGTAAATATTAGAGTTTTAAATCTCCAACAGTGAGTTATTTGTGAGGGACATGTAATTACATAATTTATAATTAGAATTTGTTAATAATTCAGCATAAATTCGTATTATGAAGAAAAGCTAATATTTTAATATTATTAGCTCGAATAAATTTTAAAACCGTGAGGCACGTCCGTCTTTAGGGCTGGTAAAAAGGTGGCCTGCTTTTCTTAATTTTTTAGTATTACGGACGTACCATTTGTCTTTGAAGACTGCAGATACGTAATTACAGACAGTAAATATTTTCCATATTCATATATTATTTACAGTGCTTGTTCATTCATAGTTTTGAACTAGCTAAAACATACGAATGTTGTGAAACATGTGATGCTTCATTTTACCCCAGGAAGGATTGTTCATACTGTGATAAAGTGCGATTGCACCAAATCATACTTTAAATGCCACAAAAGTTAGTTTCACCGAAATCCCGATTAAGTACATTTCCTTGTTCCACAAAATAACGACGTGTGTCCCTCGTTAAAATTATACAGTGACTCGCTCCGACCTCATGAAACGTGACGAGTTTTTCTCTTCCTTCCGGTTTGGCGATAGTGAAGGAAGTACACGCCATAACACTACTCCTTAGTAGTACCGACACTGCGTTGGAGCCAGCCTTTTAGATACAGTTTGTGTTTACAAAATGTGACCAGTCAGAATTCATGAAGCTATGAAATCTTCGAGCCTCAAGAATACTCTACGCAGACAGTACAAGAAAGACACGCTCTATGTTTTGGATCTATACACGTTGACGTACGATTCCCACGAGACTCTTGGTTCATTGGAAGAATACGTAAGTGAGATGTTAGGTTATGTGCACTTTCATATAAGCATAGTCAGTATTTATCTATCACCTTCAAGGTCTCCTCTTGAGAATCAAACTTTTCGTTACATAAATTCCATCTTAATTATCAAGACTCCATGTAATTTTATGTAAGCTTGCTCTCCATGATGTTTAAAATGGAGCTTGTCGTGTATCTACGTGTGTCTGCAACTTAGAAGCAAATTGGCTGATTTGCAAAATACCGAAAGTACGAAATTCTGAGGTTACAACGTTTGTTGGTTATGAAATGCATGGTACTACATGCAGAATGTTAAAACACACTACCATTTCGTTATTAATTTACCTCTGCCTCTGATGAAGATAGCCGATTAGGAAGAAATTCTACATTTCTTGTAAGAATAAGTGATGTAGTGTTGATGGACAAACAAATATTCTGTGGAATGTTTGAAACTACTAAAAATTAGACGAGGTGTTGAAGCGAATTCTTTAGATTATATGTGGACTGGATTAATTTAACTCACAATAGTGCCCAGTGTAGAGCCCTTGTGATCATGGTAATAAACCACAAAGTACCGTAAAACGCAGGAATTCTTTTGCAGTCACTAACCTATCAAATATTTAATCGTGGTTTTGATAGTTTCCGCCTTTATTTTGATGCTTTTACCTCATCTTTCTTAATCGCGTTAAGTACCTCTTACATGGTATCTGGTAAAACCAATATTTTACGATTTGGCTAATACATTACGATGGGCCCAAATAATGCAAGCTAGTTTGTTTATTTTCAAATCGTAACCCCAGACGTTGGCACTGTCCCCTTATTTGTCATTCATCGCACAAAAATACGTTCATACCAATCTTGTGAAGTCTTTAATTCTCAGTTAAGTTTATGCTAGATTTTAATTGTCTGGCCACAATATTTCATTAGTTATAATAGTCATATAGAAATATATCGCACAGTAACAATGTTCTTAGACAAAATGGTTTTTAAATTGCCAGTATTTACGTTAAAAACAAGTGTTAGACACAGATTTTCAGGATCGCATCATCGAAAGGCACTGGTGTCGGTCTCATCTCAAATTGCTGTCATATATAAAGCGAAGAAAACATGGGTGAAGTCTGAAGGTTTCCAATGATGGTGCGTTACAATCTGAAAAAACGTTTCTCGAATTTTGTCCATCGTCTAAATTGTAAACAAAATCACATTTTGGAAGCTAGATTCTGCTTCCGTCTTCAGGTACAGAAGGAAAAGAACACGTCCAAGGCTAGCTCAACCAGAGGGCCAACAAATGGGGTTTTGCCCTTTTCCTATTTCACCTGAAGACGGAAGCAGACCCATCTTCCGAAACGTTGGATTTTCAATTTTTTAGAAATTACTGATTTAAAATTACAATAAAACCTGTATATTAATGAGGGGTCCGCAGTAGCCGCTTGGTCACTGGACCGTGGGTTCGAATCCCACTCAAGCCATGGAAGTTTTTCATCGTTTTTCTGAGTTGTGCTGTCCTGTGTACAGGTAGAGGCCTTGCGACGGGCCGATCCCTCGTCCAAGGAGTCCTACCGAATGTCTATAGATCGAACCAACGAAAAGTTGGGACCCGCAGATGCTCAAGGCACTGAAGAACGGGTCGTCCAAGTATCCCCAGTATATTAATGAAGCAACGTTCATTGGCATGACCTCCATACTTAATTTAATTAAAATTCGCCTCTTCGTTCAGAAGTTTTTAAAGAACACATCCATTCAACAGGATGCGTCGTCCGGGATTGACTTCCGTCCGGCAAGCACACCAAAGAACCGTCTTCTGCTGTATATAATTATGCATGGTTTTATAACGCTATGTGAAGTGACTCCGTTGTCATAACTGCATGGCGTGTTGTTAGGTTACAGATGCAGGAGAAGGCCTCCAAACATGGCGCGAATATTTTGAATAAGCAATCACGGACAGCCGACAAGAGTTGATCCACCAGGTTGGGGGTTGACCGGGGGCTAATAATTCCCAATCGTAAAAAATCATCATGTTACGAAATGTTAAACAGTGCCTCAGACTTGCATGGATTATTTGCAATGATCTAATCAAAGGAAAGTGAATATGATATTTGTAACATGGAGTGTCATGAATCTCTATGGGTTAGGTTCTTTGAAAGTAATATCAAGGGAATTAGCAAAATATAGGTTAGATTTGGTGGAGTACAGGTCAGATGGGATAAGGGTGGCTCTGAACCAGCAGATGATTTACAATCTTCTATGGAAATGAGTTGCTGGGTAACGAGATCATATCAGCAGCTAAGAGAGAAGACTTTGTTAACAGAATGTCATATATAATAGGTGTCTGTTGGTATGATATTGTATTGAATGTGCATCCACCAACTGAGGATAGATGCCTTTATGAGGAACTACAAATTATATTCGATCAATACCAATATACACGAAAATTTTGTTAGATGTTAATGCCATCATGGAGATGAAAAATATTGTGAAACTGACAAGTAAGAATGTGAGTTTACATTGAACTAATAATGATAATGAGGTTACAATAGCCAACTTTGCCGCATCAAATCTATTTGTCAGGAGTAAATTCCCACATTACAAAAATCATGATGTGTTTTGTCTTCTGCTGGTTGAGAAACAGTCGTTCGGAGTTCGATTACCGCCAACAGCAGAAATTTTTATAATTTACAGAAATGCCCTGACGTTAAATCACCTCTAACCTCTTGGCCAAATGACATCTGATGGGCCATTTTCTGGTGTGAGAACCTGACCGTCAAGTATAGATGTCAACAAAGTCTGGTGGGGCTTTGACACTTTCATTGCTTACATTTATCTTTCATTCATTATGAAACCCTATTGCTTAGAGTTATGTGATGATAATTTTGTTAGGTTTTCATTAATCGTGAAATATTTAGAGTCCCACACATACGCTTCTATCCACACTTTTTTCAAAACCTGAATGTAGCAGACCGCTTTTGAATATGAGGAATGGTGAGGTTCGCAGCTTTTGGCAGCAGTGGAATATCTGTGGCAGCAGTGTAGATGACAACTGAGAACGTAGGGCATGCGCTGATGCACTGTAATAGCGTCTGCAGTATGTTTTTTTAACTAGGTAGTGAGTGTGTGGTTAACCGTATTTTTTTTGTTAAAAGTACAAGCAAATTCTTTGAGTCCGCTTGTGGCAAAGGAATATAAGCGTTTGGCTACTTGTAAAGTATATTTTAAAACGGTGATTGTAGTAGGAATATACTTTTCAGGTTAAGTGTTCTCAAAATTTGCCGAAGAGGTCAGTAGGTTTATAAGTAGTCTTTATTGCTGTGTGAAGAAATCTGAGATAGGATTGTGATGTTTGAAGATATTTTATCGAATATTAAGGCTCATTCAGCCAAATTGTCTGAATCACTGACAAGCTTGGGAAATATGAGAGTACAAACTACTCGTTTTACAGACAACTTTGACAGTCTTAAAACACAAACAACAAAACTGACCGAGAATATTGTTACAACACTAAAAAAGTCACCTCGTTACTTAATACCTCAAAGTGATGAGCCAGAGTCTCGTGTTTTACCTACTGATTCTAATTCCCAAGGGAAGCGTGAATTGAGATGGCCTGTGCTTGTGAATAACAGAATGCAGTGGATTACATTTCCCCAAAATACAGAAAATGTTCCTAATATTGATGATGACGAAGATATAGTAGAAAGATTTATTCGTGTCATCAGTTTAGATGAAGAGAAACCTGTTACTCAAGTAAGATACTTAATTATGTCAACTTATGATTATGTAGTACCTAATAAATTTAGGTTTTACAGTGAGTGAACAGGAAGATTGGATTTGTGTGTGATTCTGGGTTAGCACAGTCTGAATGAAAGTAATAGTGAAGTGCTTTAAGTCCACAGAAAGCAGAGACAAACTCTCACATATCCAGTCCTCTGTCCCCCCACTTTGTATTCCATACTTGATAATTTGTATTTTTTACAGGTTACAGTTGTCTTATTACAAAAATATGTATTCAGTTTAATGACCATAAGTAAAACTCTCAGTCATTGACAGTTTGTTGAATTATGTGGTTGTTTAATGATATGTAAATTAAATACAAATAAGAGTGAAAGGATGGAAGAACCAACATTCTGAGAGACATAACAAAATATAATGACTAATGATCTGAATTTTTATGGAGCAACACATTGAAAATTTAATAGTTGGTCATTACTGTGTTCACAGATGCCTAGGTGTAGGTCAGTCTTATCCTGAGCCAGATTGAATCCATTTTGTAAGATTATAGTAAAAGAGAATTGTATTTTGTTTATTCATTGTCCCTGTAGATCCTTTTCCGACAGGTAACTGTGAATCTATTTCTTAGTCTTTACTGATTTTCATTATGACAATTTAGTTTTCATATCACTGCAGTTTGTAGTGCATTCTTTTGTATGTCTTTTATGCTTGTTCTGCATAATAATGAAGACATGAGTCTTACAGTAGCATCTGGCAGTACTTGCACTATTATTTACTATTTTGTAAATTTATTTCAGCCTCTTACTCCATCTTCACTGCCTACGTATATAATGTTGGTTTTCTCTGTTGTTGAGGATGAAAGGTTTCTGTGGACCACAAGGTTTGGGTAACACTGCTAGATTAATCTGAAGTTCTCAGTGCAACTAACTTGATGTTGCAAGGGTTTTCTTAAAACGTTTGTTGGCCAAGAAATACACTTATTTATGAAGTAAAAAGGGTAATCAGTTTGTTCACAAAAGCTTGTCATTGGAATTATCTTTAGCCAGATAAATCTGGTCCAGATCTTTATATCACATTTCTCCAAAGTACATTCTAGTATTACGTTCTCATTTGTACTTTTTTCAAACCTCTTTCCTTGATGTTTTATAATGAAAACACTTTATGTTCTTTCCATCTTCCTCAATTTGATCAGGTGGTACTATGTAAAGGTGAAGTTCTTCATCATAATGATAAGCTTAACTGTTAAAGCTGAATTGATTTGAGTGATTTTACTTTATGTATTTTAGCGTCGCAATGATCGTGAGGAGATTCGACGGCGACTTGCCATGGGCTCGGACACAGATGAGTACTATGGGAGTGAACGACCTGGCAGGAAACCTAGCCTGCAGGCTAGACTTCAGAGTGGTATGTATGTTCATTATTCATTAAAGTAATCATCGTTGATTTTTAATCTCTTCCCTCATTCTTCATGCAATGATCATTGTTCAGGAATAAAATAGAAAGTCAGGAAAACTTTGTTTTCATTGAAAAGAGAAATTGAAATTCAGTGATAATCTTAAGTTAAAGTACCAATCTTGTACCTAAAATATTATTTTATTATGTTCCTTTATTAATATTTTTAAAAGTTCTGTACATAAAAATGCTGGCTTTATATGTAAAATAATAATCTTAATGAAGTAGTTGCATAGTTCTTAAGTCTGAACACTCATGTCAGTGAAACCTGCTAGCAGGCTACTACTCAGATGCCAGCTTCACTAACAGACTTCTCATAGGAAGGGTTGCAACCAGAAAACTGTTGCTGCTGTAACTAAGTAATTAAATAGATCCATGGTACAGAGACTTCCTTGAATAGTTGGTAGTTATTCAGATACTGAAGAAATTTCCTGCTCCATTGGAGCCTGATGGTCCATCGCTATGTTCACAAACCTCACCAGTGGGACTCACAGGAGTGACTTCAATCTGTTTTAGCCTAGGTCTCCTAAATGATCTGTTCAAGTTTTAAAACTAAGATTTTATGTGCCTTTTTCAGTTCTTCCATGTATGCTGCATACCTCATTCACTTCATTCTTCCTATCCTCATTTTGTTAAAGGAGAAATAACTGGTTTAGTGATACACAGGCCATGTTTGTTGGCTAAATATGAATATTCTAATTTAAATCTTTGCTTCCTTTGTTACTGTAATGTTTACAGAAGTAGTGTCTTTTACCCCTCCAGGGATGAACCTGCAGATATGCTTCATGAATGAGACTGTATCAGACACTGAGTCTCCAAGTTCAGACACGGAGACAGCATCGTCACCAGCGAAAACAGATCCAGAGAAGATTATAGCTGTTTCACGGAGCAGTGCTTTGCCAGTAAAGGTGCGAATCTCAAAAAGTAGTGACACTGTATGGAGGTTCACAAGCATATCATTTATCCCAGTTTATGATGGCCTTCAACTAATGATCAGTATATCATTATATTGAAACCTCTTAGAGGTGGCATTTTGGTTCTAAGTCAGTGCACAAATTTTGTGAGCAGTGGATTACTCGTTATGAAAGAGTAAACATGAAAAAAGTCATAGTTGGCATTGTATTTCATGTACTATGAGGACCAGTGTGAATTAGACAAAACAGGACTGAAAGCAATTATTTCCATTGTTATTCTTCCAGTGCTTTTAAGCACAGTAACAAATAAATAATTGTACTTGTAGTTGTGTCACCCTCGGTGGACTAGTGGTTAGCGTGCTCGCCACTGGACCCAAGGTTCGCTGGTTGAATCCCGGCCGAGGTCGATGGATTTTTAAGGGTGATAAAAATCCGTAGCACAACTTTCTTCGGAGGGGAAGTAAAGCCGGCGGTCCCATGTCGTAGATTTACGGCATGTAAAAGAATCTTGTGAGCATGAAACGAGATGTTTTGTAAGAAAAATTCACCGGCCATTTCTCACTTAAGTCTCTCCTGATTCACTGCTAAATGGCTTTGGCAGTCAAATCATGATTGAGTAGAAATTGTGCAGAGTCAGCGGGATAGTCACTCACTACTCTTAAATGCATGTATTAAAGACTATGAAACCTCCGAAAAGAGGCCCTATGCTCCACTGAGGAGTTACAGGAACTAAGTTAAAGTTAAGTTACTTGTAGTTGTAATTGTTACAATGTAGAATAAATTCAGCTTCAAGTGAATACACATGGAATCAGTGCCATTTGTTACAATACTTACATGCACGCATGCATGCACAGATAGTAGTGATAAAATGTAATTCTTTCAGCCACTGCAGCTGACACCTTCACCAGCAGCTACTCGACCTTCCACTTCACTACTCACTCTGCCCATACACAGGGAGACTGAACCTCCTCATCCCATGACAGAAGCAGATTTCTTTGCTCGCCAGGCGCAGCTACAGGCAGAAGCTCGGATGGCATTGGCTCAGGCTAAGGAGATGGCTCATATGCAGATGGAAGTGGAACGTCAGCGCCTGAAAACGAGTCCCATCACAGAGATGGTTCGGTCTAGTCTTGAGAAGGTGATTATTCACACATTAGTTACATTATAAGATTTGAGGTTCTCATGGCAGTGAATATGAAGAGGGCTGTCTTCTGTGTTGTAGCATCGTGTAATCTTATTGCCCTGATGATGGGGACTGCAACCCAGAAGATTATTTGCATTGAACCATAAACATGTAAGTGTACAACAGTTATGTGCCATTTTGAGTTATCTCCTTCTCATGTACTTAATTTTTTATTGCATGAACTTTTCCATCAATCTGCAGTATTAGTGACATCCAGAATTATGATAGTGTTAATTCTGAATTCTGAAAGTATGCCACTGTTGAGATTTCATGTCAGGTGGTCTAATGGAGAAAACACCAATGTTTCAAGAACCATCTTCTTCCTTGTTCTCAGGGTACTGAAGTTCAGTATAAGGATGAAGATGGATCTTGAAACATTGGTGTTATCTCCATTAAACCACCTCACACGGCTGGTAACCCAAGAACAATTCATTATAGTGTTCTGTAACATTTACCATGCTTCCTGTTATGGTGTAAGCGGTATAACGTGAAGGTATTTAATTACGTCTTATTATTTCCAGGTTGGAATCCCATTCCCTGAGGACAGGAGACGTGTCAGTAGGCAGATTCTTACAGAAATGAATGTGGCCCAACTTCAAGTTATAGTTAATGATCTACATACACAAATAGAAAGTGAGCTTAATTTATATAGATTTAACTCCTCAAGCAGGCATTTAATTGCAAACAGCATTGGTGTTTAATTGTCCCTGCTGCATAACGGCTACCCAGGTTTATAACATTTCTTTGAAACTACTCAACAGAATTTGGTGAAAGTTTTAGAGGATGCTAACCACCATTTGTTCTTTAGCCAACAATGTATGTAGGCTGTGTACAAAACGTTTCTTTGTTGCCTCAAAAAGAAATGTTTTGAGTGTGGAAACCATTGAAAGATTCCTCTAGGCACAGTCACAGTTTACAACTTTTGCTAGCAACCCAAAGAACCCATGGTGTTTCTTCCTGTACCTTGTGTAAATTAATGGAAAAGAATTCTTGTTATCCGAGCTACGTTCATCAGTGAATACCCTGAGATTATGACATCATCACCAGTCCACTAGCGAAGGACAGTGTTATCTACCCAGCTGGTTAGATGGCATGGATGTTTAGACAAATGAAACCCTGCTCTGGATTTTCTTCTTAGCTTCTGTGTGTTGGCTGACACTGTCGGCTCCGTGAGGTGGTATACTAGAACTGCTGGCTTGCAGCTGAGAAGAACCAACTTACAGATGGAGATGGTGTGTCAGAAAATTCTGTTACATGGCTCCACCATTACTCTTTTATTTTTGTGTTTCAATATCATTCCACCAGAACCAAGGATCAAAAGCCACCACCTGCAGAGCCCCATATGGGTGGTATGCTTTGATATTATTGGGTGCTGCCCACTGCCTCACAGGGATTGTTAATGACTGCTATCACCACTCCAGTGCCATACAGCCTTTGGCGCAATACCTCACACCTTGGCTTCGATAGATCAGATGTTCCCCCCCTGTGATGAGGACATCAAGGGTTGGATTTTGAAGGGCACATCCCTAAGTTAATATTCTTTAAATTTCATTAGTCTTCACAGATGTATATGTTTTTGTAGTTCACATTATTGAAATATTTCCAAATGCTTTTACGTCATGTCTACCACTGATATTGTTTCTATATCATTTTCATCATATTAATTTAATTACTTTTTATTGAGGTTTATTTCAAGACCAGTTCAATACTGATATTTTCATTTATCATTTTGTGAACTGTAATAAAGTACTACATATGGTTAGTGGGGAGATGTAATTTAATGCTTGGCTTAATTTTTAAATATTTATGTACATCAAGGACACCCATTATACTGAAATATAATGATTGGAGATGTTTCAGATGCTCAATTTGACTGTATTAATGACTTAATATGATACTTCTTTTTCCAGTTTTGAATGAGGGCTTAGTAAAGTTCCTGATGGATCGAGATGATCTACATATGGAGCAAGATTCTATGTTGGTTGATATAGAGGATCTAACACGATACCTGTAAGCATATGAACTGTTGTAAAACTTTGTATTGCTATGACAATTAAGAATTCCTACTTCACAAATGAATGCATTATCAAGCTTTGAATTATCTACATTTAGCTGAATATGTGTTATAATTACTGTTGTTGTTTGTTCAAGAAAGAATTTGAATAATTTTTGTTGCTTATCTTTCTATTCTGTTTGTATATGGTAAACACTTTCTGAAACTTCTTGCAAGTTACATCATACCTTAGGAGCAGCAGAACCATGTTAAAATTACACTGAAGAAAGACAGTAACAATATTCATCATATTGTCACAAGATATAATATGATTGGTGCCAGCCACACGTCCTTCCCGTTCCATCCTCCCATGTTGCATGCTTGTGGTATGTAGGTTTGTTAGCACCCGTGGTGTAATCGCTTGTAACATCACAGCTGGTGTTGGAAGCAGCAAGAATGGATCCTGCACTATAGTTTATCATTGACCAGCTGAATAACCTGAATGCAAGCCAAAAGACACTGAAAACTTCATAAAAGCATTGTCTAAGAAGAAATTAAAAATGACATCAGTGGCATTTGTAATGAGCTGAACAACAGACCCAGAAATTCTGTGAGGAGTACAACTAAAAGTTACAAGAGATTCAATGAAACATTGGAGTGGCACAGCAAATTATCAGAGTACAACAACAATACATATAAATAACTTGTCATGACCTAGAAGTCATGTGGTAGAGTTTGGTTCCCAGCTGGCAGCAGTGGAGGCTTGTATAACATGCAGGCGGCATGATCACAGGGACGAGCACAGACAGAGCAAGATAACAGAAGTTGAATGGATGCACATCCGGACGATATTCCACTGCCAGTTTAAGGCTGTGGCCTATCACACCCCCTATTAGGTTCTCTTGTCAAGCTGGCATGGATCAGGATGAGGTATTGGGATTCTAGCTTGTAACCTTTGGCTGCAAGCACTACCTTTCTCTACTACAGTTTATGTTCATATCTACAGTTAACAAGAATTAAAGATGTTGAATACTCCACCTTTGCATATTTGGTTCCATTAAATAACTTGCTCTAGTTCCTATCAACTATTCCCCCTCTTTAATGTTCAGAAAGGTGGTCTACCTGACCATCTTCCTTGATTTTATACAGGATGATTGAAAAGTCACACAACCATATTAAAATATTTTTAGGTGGTTGCATTTCAGTACAGTTCAATTGGATTAATGAACACCCATCATGTTTCAAGCTGCGTTTGCAAGTCTGTCAGTTGTCCTGTAACAGTTGAAGTGCAAGGATGTCTTTTTCACAAGTGCAACAAGTGTTTGTTATCGAATGGTATCTGGCATCTAGTTCTTACTTCCAGAATGAGTTTAGGGATACATTTACAAATTCTTCTGTGCCAAATGGATCAATATCTCATCTTGAAAACTGTTACCGTGACACGGGAACTCTTCACCAGATTGCATCAGACATGATGAGAAGAGTGAATACACTTTATACAACATTGTTTTTTGATTTCAGTATAATTTATTTTTTGACATATGGAACATGTATCTGGAATGGGTTACAGGACCTTTTTGATCACTGTGGGTAGGTATGCAAGACATGGAACAAGTGAGAGTACCAGACATGACTCGGAAAGTACCTATAATGCACTGCACTTCCAGAATATATTCCAGAAAAATATGCTACAATAGTAGACCTAATCACATATAATTACACAATACTAATTCATAGTAATTATGCAGAATATTTAGAAATACAGCTAATATTGCACTATACTCAAAACATGTTGTGTTAGCAAATCTGTATTAATGAACACCTAAATTGCACACACTTCATTTACTGTTTACATACAAGAACTTAAGCATGCATGTTGCTTTCCTTATTAAACACTACATATACATACAAATTTAAAACTCATGTTGTCAAACTCATTGACTAATTTATGAACTTGGTAGAAGGTTAAATTCAAAACAGCCTCTCTGTCGCATTGCACACAAGTGTCATGACATGAACACATTGTTTGTATTTACTTTCTTGTTGTATGAATATTGTATTTATTTGCTTTTCTAGGGGTGCCAAGGAACAGACAGTGAAGGAACAGGAGGACTTGCAGCTGTTGAATCAAAACAATAACAATAATAACCACAATTTCCTCCCAGCGAAACCAAAGGTCAATAGGGTAGCAGGTCTTGCGAAGAAATAATGTACAGATTGAAACTGGGAAGATTATGATACGTACAGAAATGCAAGTGTTAGACATTCCATTTTGACATTGGAGTTGGAATTTTATTTGTGCAGTGTAAGTCAAAGTCTGCTCCAGTGAAACAGATGTATTTTTTTGCCATTTATGCATTTTGGATTTTACTTGAAACATGAGAAAATACAGTAGGTGGCAGCAGTCATTCCAGTGCTAGTTCCTTTACTTACAAGCCATTGGAATTTATGTAATTAATTTGAAGACAATTATGATTATGCATTTTGCATTTGAAGTAAAACCTAGTCGAGCCCAGATGTTCTTTTCAAACAAAGGTTTGGTTCTATTTGTTTACTTAATTTCAGACTTCATAGGAAGTAGCTTCTTTTTTGTAACATAATAATTTCACCATATGCTTCACATGACTTACCACTGTAAGGGACAGTATGTTTTAGTCGATGTGGAAACCGGTGTAAATTGCTGAGAAATGTGTGTGTCTTCGGTGAGGAATATATGCTGTATGCACTTCCTTTTGAATCTCTGTGGAACAAAGACAAGTTCTGGGTAAACTGTACATACCTATTTTGTTCATGTGCTGTGGATTATAAGTTCTCCATTGTTTGTGCAGCAGCCACCTGTGTTAAATTTCCTTCTAGTGCCAAAGAAATTTACTTACTGTATTGTTCCAAATATGGTTTTGTTTAAAGTAAAGTTGCCTGTATGCCTAAGCACCACACTGGTATAGCATGAAAAACAAAGGATTGTGCATTCCTAATGGTAACACCAGTTGGTCATCTTCACACTGCAGCCAAGTGCCCAGGCCCTAGAACTAGGCTAGTTACGGAGAAGAGACGGATCTTGTGCTTGATGGTCAACTGAATCCTAGCCATTCTGCCCTTAAGCAGTCACTTCACTGACTGAGCTGTGCCAGCTCACATTCACACATGCGTAACTTTTTCTTTTTATGTGTTCATGCTGTAGCATAAGCGAACAACACGTGGGTTTATGTATATCTGTCCCATTTGTTAGACGCAATTTTTTCTGAATAGTGGTGCAAAAACGACCTAAAGTCATTGTTCAAAGCTGCAAAATAGTGGTCTTGAATCATACCAATGCGAGAATGACCTAAGATGTAAGTAACCATGGATGATGATAGTTCAACAGTGACCCAATAATGTAGCATGAAGAACGCCTTTGGAATGTCATTGTGTTCTAAAGAATGCACCTTTCCAATTTTGTTTGTATTTGCTATAGGGTGATGTTACTTCATCCATTCAGTGATCCTTGTAATAGTAATAAAGTATGAAGTTTCTGTTCAGTTTTTATTTATTTCATCTGTCATTATTTCTGTATCCTTTTTTTAGACGACTTTCTTTATCCACATATCAGGGACATCTCGGTCTACTGCATCCAACAGAATAGGTGTCCCCCAATCTGAAGATGAATGTCCATTCTTTGAAATATAGTATTGTGGTGTCTTTTTTTAAAGAGTTTAAGATTTTCAAGACTTAAAAAATGGACAGGGTAAAGTCAAAAATAAAGAAAGCAGTGAAAAATATCATCTCCAAAGACATTCAGAGAATGTTGTTGCTGAAATGAAATGCAAACAGATTTTTCATATACTATAAACAATTAAAAAATAAATATATCCTGTAAATTACGAGATGAAAATACTTCTCTTTCCTTCATCTCTTTTCTCTTATTTAAGTGATTCAAGGGCATTGAGGTGGATTGAAGTATGTTATATGGGGCATGAAGGAAAGATGTTGATGATGGGATTGGGGGTTATCAGGATCCTGTGCATAATTATATATTAGGGTTATCCTGAAATGGCTTTTTGGAGAGTTCAAGATTCTTAAAGAAGTTGTCCCAAGGCACTATGGACTGCTGCCTCTAGGTCTTCATATAACAACCACAGCCCTTCCTCAAGACAGCCTTAACTTTGGAGATGTATTCAAAATAGAGGTTTCCTTGCTCAGAAATTGCCATTTCACCCTCTAGCACCCTAAATGCCTTATTCAGATACCTATCTGTTAAGGATGGGAGAGAGTGGCAGATCTTGATTTCCGAGTTCATGAGAATGGGATTGTAGGTGCTGTATCACTTCTTCAGCTGAAACCACAAGCTCAGGTTGATTGGCAGTTTCAGCAGTACTGACAGTTACATATACGAGATGTTCAGATCCTTTAAAATCTTTGGTGAATTCAGGGCACACGTGTTTCCAAACTAAGGTTTGATTCCTTGTCCTTTAATGCTTCTTCAGTGATCTTAAATGCATCCAAAATGTTAAATTCCTTCCAAAATTCCTTAATTGATGGACCTCCTTGCTTTTTCACTCTGATGGGCTTAGTGAAAGTGTGCCTGAGACACTAGGCCATAAATGATGCTTTCACATCCTGATCCATTGGCTGCAGCAAAGACATGGTGTTTGGTGGCAGAAAAACAATAATATTAGGGTTGACATTAGTAGTAGTATTTCTGGTGAACATGTTAACCTTTCCCTTCAAAAGACTGGTTGTGGTAAAACTGCTGCAATAAGCTGTGCATACAAACTGGTTTGGTCAATTAGCTGCATCAGATTTGGGGCTATAAAATGTTCCATGTAGGCAGCTGGGTTTTGGCTGTCTCACAGTGTGCAAGGACTGGTGATAAAGAGTGGAACAGTGGGATAACATTTTTTTTATAAAATACCGGTTGGACTGGGCACATGATGGTTCTGAAATAACACGCAACTGCCATATCACAAATATGAGCTGCTGCTTTGTCATGTAGACTGAACAAAAGTGTGTGATAAATATAAGGGCTGAAAGGTAAACTGCAAGGGAGAAAAACAGCAGGCATTTCATAATGCCTAATGATCTAGCTGACACTTCAAGCAACATCTGTTACCGTATTTCCTTGATGTTAAGACACCACCAGTTGTAAGATGCACCCTTGATTTACTAATAGGTTTTCAGGAAGAAAAATGTAATATCGAAACTTGGATGCCATTGAATGTAAGGTGCACCCCAATTTCAGAAATTTTAAAATGTGTCTTAAAATCGAGGAAATATGGTAATTAATGATGCAGTCTTTTGTGATTTAATTTAAATTATAAAGACAAGTGCTCTGAATTGATGCTGGCATTATTAGAGCTTCAATGAAAAAACGATTTACATTGACTTTGGAAATGAATGTATTAAAAGTGTGTGGATATGGTAAGGTATCTAATTTTTGGAACAGTACAGTACTAGCATATTCACAAGTCACTAGATATGTATATAAACATTAACTTATTATCCCCTAGGATAATTATTTGAAATTGCTGTATTGGCTAAATTATTGCGCAGTCTCAAATGTAAGGCAATCCATTTCCAGAAACCATGGAGGAAAATGAATCATAATACTGCAGAAATAAACACACATTTGGCTCAATTTCAGTTATTGAAGCACGTATCAGATTAATAGAAGTATTTTGGAAAATAATTGTGTGGAATTCTAATATTTATTCAGGATCATCACTGCTTTCTTCTTTGATTGAGCTACTTCCTGTGTTTTCTTGAGGTGTGGACTGTCAGAAAATACCCTCAGAGTATGGGGCTGTTGTCTGTGATTGTTCACAATTATAAGGCAATTAGAATTTTTTTAGCCTGTTATTAAAAAAGACAAAATATAATCATACCAATATGATACTAAACCACGAAGTTCTTTTGTGTAACTGGCACTGCTGTGTTTTTTTATATTTAAAGTGAAGGTGTAAACACTATAAACTTTTATGGATACTGTGCTGCATTACATACCCAGAATTTTAAATAGCTAATAATGCTTCTCTTTAAAATGTGCTGGTCTCATAGTGGTTGGTTGTCATGCATTTGGTACTATAAAAATGAAGTTGTTTTGGACTTACTTTTCAATGTAAATCTCTGAAATTTGTGTAATGTTTCATTAGTTTGTTAGAATGAATGTCAGAAACATGCTCTACATTTTTTGGATTGCATGCTAAAGGAAGAAGTCAAAGCAACATCATATAATCTTAAATGTGCAGTGTATTCTTCTTGCTGCAAATTCGTTCTGACACAAATATAGTGGATGTCAGTGCAATGCACAGTGATACTGTAGAAACTAGAAACTTGTATTTATTTGCCTGATGTGATGTTAAGCTATTTGCTTGATTGTGCTCAGTGTTACCCTGTCTGGAAATATATGAGATGTGATCATCATGTTTCAGCACTGCCTATAGTTTCATAATGTAACTCACGCAAAATTCATAATCCAGTTCAAATAATTCTGTATTGTAACAACCCTCTCTTTTCATCACTCAAAAACTGTAATTTTCCAAAAAATAGTCACGTTTTCATTAGTGTTTTCATGAGTTGTGCACCAAAAATACTGAATTTAGTGACTGATCTGATGTGTTTTTCTCTTCAGTGGGAATAGCAGCAATTACACATTTTTGGATCTGTACTTATCTTCCACAATCCTAGTATACAGAGTGTGATTTGAGGGTCTGGCTGAAATGTAAGGATGAGTTCCACATGCCAAAACAATTAAAGAAGTTCATGAGTGCATGGGTCTGGAAAAGCCACCATTCTGAAGCTGTGAGATCACAGAGGGCGGAATGAATACATTTCAGCTGTGGGTCAATACTGCATCAGAAGTTTTGGTAAGCAAAAGATGACTTTTCAGGAGGCTTTTCTTGTACCATGTTCATATGAACTATTTTGATTGTTTTTGAATGTATAACTCACTCATTTTTTCCAGACCTTTAATTTACACTCTGTATGGTAGATGGATGACAGTGGTGTTATGTATAACAGTATTCAAATTAAACATGCACGAGATATTTTTATTAACTCAGTTCATGTTCAAATTGGGTATGGTAAAAAATCTATTTTACTCAAATCAAAATTAACAACACAATTTTTGACTTATTAGAATATTTGGCAGCTGTGCCATGGCACAGCCTTTCTGCTATCCATTATCACTGTGTTGATTGCCATGAGTCACTGTGCAACAGCAGCAGAGATAAGAGGAAGTCTCAAACAGAGCTAATATTCCTTGTCTGCTATATATTAATATCTATTGTATGAGAAAAGGTGATTTAAAACCTGTACTACAAGGCTGCTGGCCAAACTTTTAAATCCACGATTAATGATTTATGAGAATTCTAGTGTGATGCAGTAAGAAATTATGCAAAGACAGTAAGTGTTTGTAATATCTCAGTATTGGTACAATGTGATCACACCTCAATCCATGTCCCCAGCTGAAGCACAAGGCCACCAGTGCCTGTTCCTGTCCTGTATCCAGCTTTAATAAGTGTTCCATTTATGAGACATTATGTGATATTTGTTGGGACTGGAAGTCATACATTTCGTTATCAGGGTTGAAATATTGTGAGGAATGTTCAGTATTAGTTGTACTCTGTGAAAATATTATTTCTAAAATTTACTTGTAAGTGTACTGGATGTCATACTCCACTCTGAGGTATTCCTGGTGCTTACTGCTGTTTGTGAACATTATATGGTTTCTGAATGCTATTTAAAAATTGGAAAGGAATAGTGGATTTTTAAGGTGGCTATAATTCAGTGGTTATTAGTGAGAAGAATTAATTGCAGTGTAAGCATAAATTACTATACTTCTACTCAGTAACATCTGTTTATACAAAAGCACAGTGTTAGTTTTGACACATACCACATATAATTGGCATCTATAATTTAAATACAGTAAACTTCTGATAATTTGAGCTTTGGCTGATTCTGTTGCCAATTCTTCATTCACAAATTTTTCAAGTAATCCAAGACTTTATTTTACTGCCAGTATAGTTTTTATAGAATTTTTAGGCACCTTATGTAGGATCCAAAAATGTTAATTATAATTTTCACCTAACTGATGCACTCAGTAGAATGTAATGGAATTCATTGTAAGGCACTAATATCTGAAAAAGACCGAGTGCACCTGTAGCATCCCCTCTTTCCATCTGCATGACCATTGGAACAGACACCCCATTCACCACAAATAATTTCAGTGAAGCAAAAAAAACTGCATTGTTTAACCATATCTACTGTAGACCCTTCGAAAACCATCCCCTTCCCTAAAGCAGCCACTGAAACATGTCAGAAGCTTAATCATGCGTATCTGCATTTATGTAGAAAGAAAGTTGTGCGCAGAAAATCTGCACAAGTATAGTCAGGAGTTTACTGTACACATATTCAGACATCAGTTTGTTCAGTTTGGTCATTTACCACCACATACTTTTATCATTGTCTAGAGCAAGGTGTGTGTATGTGTGTGTGTGTGTGTGTGTGTATGTGTGTGTGTGTATATATATATATATATATT